CTGCAAACATTCTCCAGTAAACAATCAGAAACATTCAGTGTATCAATGCTGGTTTCTGTTACAATGTATCACATCTGAGAAGTTTTGCTATTGGAACTATGCTAAATACAATGTTACTGATGCTCACAGGTGGTTATCAAACATCTACTAGATTATTTAATTAGGTTTCATATGATAAATATTGACAGTTTTTAGAACCTCTAAAGTTTTCTGAAATTATTTACCTTTGAATAAAAACACCCAAAACAAACAAAAACAACAACTTATGATCAACTGACTGTTTTAACAACATGTCGATTACTTTGTTTTGTGACTGTTGACTTGCTGCTGTTGTTGTTTCGTTGTTTCTTATTCCTTTCATTGTTTCTATAGATAACCAAATATTTCCACTGCATGCCTGCTGATAGAAACAGAGATCAATGGTGTGACGCCAATTAAATAACCACTGAAAGCTGTGTGTGTTCTCATTGGTGCTGGTTTTTATTGGTGTTACTGAGCAGAAAAGAGGTAACGAGGGTGGGGACAGTCGTGCACAGTGAGGATGTAAGAAGGCAACAGTGGAGGAACTTAAACATAGTTACACTGTAACTACGTTTAAGTTCCTCCACTGTTGCCTTGTAAATTTCATTACAGTAGATGTCTTTCTGAAGTGCTGTAACTGTTACAGCACTTCTGAAAGACATCTACTGTAATGAAATTTATTCCCCACGCTTTGCAATTCATTATTGTAAATGTAAAAGTTTTTAACAAATGATCAGACAAAGGAGGGGTTGTTGTTGTTTATAATTTAAACACTCTTTGGATCTTCAGATAAAGCTCCAGAGTGTGATCAAAGTGGTGGGTGGGCTCTTTAGTTTTTTGAAAGAAGCCAAATGAGTCTAATTATAGATTGAATACCGTGTTGAGGCTGTCATTTTCAGCATCTATGTGTATGTTAAAATTAAATTGCTCACAATAATTATTTTATCTGAGCTGAGCACCAAATTAGATAAAAAGTCTGAGAAATCAGAAAGAAACTCAGAGTAAGTGTCAGGTAGATGAGAGATAAAAAAATAAAACTAGCATTGACATATCTACAAAGCTTTAGATAAGTAAAACTCCACCCATGACTTTATTCAGCATCAGAAACCTAAATGAAACAGAGCTTTTAGATCAGTGTGGACTCACAGGGATTGTGCACTGACCGCATTACTGGAAACTCAGGCAATTGTCAGCAGTGTTTTCTCTGCTCAAAATGAGCCCTTGAGGGAGTCTACTAACGTTAGCACAATGGGTCATAGTTAAGACACTGACTGTTTACATGTTACACTCTACATTTTCCTGTTTAGCCGCTTGATAAACAAACTATTTTATTTTTAAATTTCTATCAGGTCATTTCCTGTTTTATTTTGTTATCGTGGGTACTTGTCTGTTCCTGTCAGCTCTACTTCCTCCCTGCGTTTAGCTTCTCTTTGCTCGCTGCCAGATTGAGCTGTGCTGCTTGTCAGGACTAGTCGAGCTTTCTAGGAACACAGGAATTTGTGTTCTTGTATTCGTTCGTCTGAACCTCATTTAGATTGTTTGTCACACCATCTTCTTCCCATGTGTGACCACTACACATTTCTGGACTTTTAGACTGTCACATTCTGCCACGTTTACTAAAAAAGTAAATTAAATCTACTTATAAATGATCAGAAATCATCTTTATTAGAGTTCTGCTGATTTTCCTACAAGTTTTCATTTCTTAAAAACAAAACAAAACACCTGTGTGTCTATAAATCCACCTGTTTGAAGAGGTTAGAGGTCTCTGTGTTGTAACTTGTCTGATCCTGCTTCCTCCTCTCTGTGTTTCTCTGTTGCGAATGAATGGAAACAGATTGGAAAAACTCCAGCGTGTCTTGGTTTGCTCTACAGTTTCTGGTCTTGGCTTACAATAGTTCCCACTGTGGTTCCACTCAAACTTTCCACATTACTGAAACAGGCCTAGCAATAAAGTGATGGGGGCTTTCTCTCCAATAATTCCAACAACAAGAGCTGGGAGAAGCTTGCAAGTTGAGTCGAGTTGTTTTGACAGTCCTTTTGACAGTTCTGACATTTCCTTTTCATGCCTCCTAACCACTGTAATCTTTGCATCACAAGATTAAAAAAAGCACCCTTTTAACTGGACATTGTAGCAGATAACTCAAACATTTTGTCCCTCTGGATTCACTCATTTGAAAAATAACGGCAGCTACTTTTAAAAAATTGTCACAATCTTCCAGGATGAACATTTGCAGCTAAGAAAAATGACAGTTTTATCTCAAGATTTCAACTTTTGCATTTAGGTTCAAAATGTTTCGCTCTTACTTTCTGTTTATGATTAAAGAGAAAGTTGAACAACTTTTAAGTAACTTTAGAGCTTCTTCATCTTATTTTACTTTTAAAAAAAGTGCAATTTATAATCGCAACACAGGAAAATTGGACCACAGTAAATAGATTAAAGAAATGTCCTTTTTAAAAAACAGAAGCACAGCTGATAAATGATCCTTTTTCTTTATGTACTCTTTGTGTAAATTCTGTAGCAAGAGAACAGAGTTGTGTAAATGGTGCCAGGAGTCCATCCAGGTCTTGTTGCTGAAACTACAGCAAAACTCTGGAAAAGTCTATTTGCCTTTTGTCCACTTGAGTCTGCAGGAGTATTAAGCTAAGCTGTTAAAGTTACTCTTCATTTTCAGCTCCTCCCCTCCTTTATTTATTTTTTAAATCCTTAACGTGTCTTACAGGATTTCAACATTAAGTAGAAAGAACTGAAAGGGAGTGTGGCTGTTAGCTCCTGGAAGCAAAGCTGTTATTAGAGAATCTGTCTCAACAGGCAAAGAAGGAAACGTTGTTTCAGGTTTAAACAGCTAGCGGCAGTCTTAGATTTAGCAATATTTAACAGTTCCCAAACTAAGACCTTAACTTTATTAATTATAAACGTGCTATTTATGTTAAGTGTTACTGAAACACTTCCACGCTCTGTGTGCGACACAAACACATCATTTCACACAACAATAACTGTTGTATAAGCGTCTGTGTGCTTTGCTGTCGTCACCACAGAAGCGGTTTTGTTTGTTTTCGGACCTTTGAAGGGTGTCAAGACAACTGGGTGCTCCACAGAGGCAACTACACCTAAAACAGACTTCACTTTCCCTCCAGTTGATGGAAAACTAGGAGGCTGAGAGGAGGCCCTTTGAGAGCAGAGAGGAAGCAGGAGGCAGCAAGTGTGTGTGTGTGTGTGTGTGTGTGTGTGGTTACACAGGTTTTCCATGTGTAACAAAGTGCTGATTTAATGGTAAAAAGAATAAAAGCAGCCTAATTAAATACCTTTAGAACAGCAGTGATCTTTCTCTCGAAGCAGCAGAAAGTAAACACTTTATATCTCAACATTTAAGACAACATTTTGGATTTTAAGCATGTGGCTAAATCATTTTGTCTGCAACCCACAGCAAATCTGTTCATCAGTTTATACCGCCATCTTATGGACAACAGATGTTACTTCCATCGGTGACCTCTGACACCAAAGTCTGCATGCAGTTGGATTTGTTTGGCATTTATTAGCAGGAAGCTCCAACAGTTATGGATGGACCTGCATGCGAGCATTACCAAAGATGGGGTTTGATCCAGATCTGCATCCTGGAATATTTTTGGAAGGAATCTTTATCACGAGATGGTTCGAGATTGGGCGTATTAGATCAAATCTTTGAAAAGTATCCGATTAGTTTAATGCCCAAAGGGAGAAATCAGTTTGATGTTCTCAAAAATATCAGAAACTATCAGTATATCCCGGAGCAGAGAGACGTGCGCAGTCCTGTTCGTGTGTGCAGTAAACCCACCGGTTAACACAACGGCAGAGGATATTTGTGTGGTCGAGGATATAAAACTATGAATTGAAGATATCTCACGGGCACAGTTTCATCTGGAGATGTAATCTTTAATCGATTAAGTCATGAAACATCGCTTCCCTCGTCCTTTATCTCATAAGCATTTATGCGGACAGCACTTAATCGCTCATCTTAGACCGTTTCATGTTGTCTCACTTATGGACCTGCGTTTAAATGATGAGCATGTTACTCAGCATGAACAGCCCAAGTCTTGTCAGCTTTTTCCTCTTCAAGACTGAGTTCATGGCTGGTGTGGAGGTTTCCGTTTCAGAGAACTTCCATTAGCAGCTAATCGATAAGAAAAATCACTCAGATTACACAAAGTGCTGCTTAAACACAACTAAAGGCAACACACCCACTCACAATAATCTTACAAGCTTCTCCACACATGTCCACACCTACCAACACACACACACACACACAGTAGAGCCCCCTTCTCTCAGTTCAGCTCAGATAACATGAAAAAAATAATAAAGTTATAAACTATCGAGATAAATTTAATTCAGTTGTTTTCATTTTCTCCCTTTTCCCTCTATTTTTATTATACATTACAATAATGAATGTTTATTTATTTACTTTTACTTTATTTTTTTTATATATAGCATTCACTTAATCACCAAACACATTTTTTCCTTCGAAATTCGCTGAATTTTCAATCGATTTTAAAATACTCTGATATGCTACAAATTGTAGAAGTGCATTAATGATACAGGACACTTAAAACTGCATGTTTTTTATCCCATGTCAGGCCTCGTATCTAACGTGTTTAAAATAAATATTAATATTCTGCTTTTTTGTGAGTTTTGCTGTAAAAACGTCATTAAAATCAACCTGACTGGAAATAAGAGCTGAAACATCATTTTATGACTGAGGATGGTGTCAGAGAGGAGCATGCTGTCTTCACAGTGGTCGACGATGCACCAAATCATTCCTACCTGTAACACCTGGATCATCCTCACTCACTGTTTAGTTTCGCACATCCTGCAGTTTATATTTTTCTATATTTCACACTCACACTTGAGCACCTTTAACAAATGAAATTTCCACTTTGGATTAATAAATGTCTGACTTCTGGATTATTATTATTTGTTGTTGCAACAGTTTAGGCCTTTATTTAAGAGCCCTCTAGAAAAGCCCCCGTGTGTCTCACAACAGCCATTGCTGCATTGTATGCTGGGAGTTGGATGCCACAGGAGTGTGGGACCAATGCCTTCTCTCTCCTATAAAGCCTTTCCCACCACGTCTATAAAAATCTCTGGAATGAGTGCAGCTTTTGTTCTTCCTTCTCTCACCTTCTGCCATAGAGCTTCTCTGGAGGCCAGACTGGAGCAGGCGGCTACGAACCAGCAGTTTCCCAGCTGACCCTGGTGCAGGTCATGAGCGCTGATGCCGTCCACAAACAGATGGGGGTCGCTGGTCAACTCCTGGAACAGCAAAGATGAGGCAAATCATTGTTGATAAACTAATTTTCTTCCTTAGAGGCATTACATATACTCAAAACTCTGATTACTCATAAAATCTGACCCACAGGCAGCTGTACAGGAACCATCACGGCCCCTGTAAAGTTAATACTTATCCTCATCTTCTTATTTACAGGCACAATTAATCCACTTCTAACTGTATTATAATTGAATCCAGGTTTGAATCTTTTTATACTGTGTATTTTATTGCAGTGTGTCTCTGGAAAACAGCAGGCGTATGTGGTCAGGACAGCTGCCAGGTGTGGATGAACGTAAAGCGGGGCGTTACCCGGAGCACTCGGTCAAACATCATAAGGTAAATACAGAGTAAAATCACTCCCCGATTAACTACAAGTCTCTTCTGAGGGTTCAAAGCCAAACAAACCACAGAGGCAGACTAACGGGACGGCAGCCAAATGATAGAGGTGGGATAAACCAGAGCACACGCCCAGGAAGACCACTAACTGTATGTAGAGACAAATGTACACATGGCTCCACAAAGTTAGCCTCTCAGGGTCTTATATCTGGTGAATGGATTTAAAACGGTATGTTTGTGCACTGCAGATCTGAGCCAGCCCACGGCAGGAAGAAAGCTTTACTGTGTGCATTCTCCAAATTAAAGGCCACTATTTTTAGTGCATATAGCTACTATACATGCACAGGCAGTAAAGATCCAGTGTTTCCCTAAGACTGTGTTTGAGATGATGGAAGAGGAGGAAGACGGAGGATGTATATGTGTTTGCTCTCTGGGACAAGAGATAACAGGTCTAATATTCAGCTCCATTTCCAGTCAGCTCTCCATCCTGTGGGCTGACTGCAGTTTGACTACAGATGGTGGTCCTTGGTCTGCTTTGCAGCCTCAGCATAGTTGAATGCAACTCTCCACCTTCTGCAGGTGCTGGGTAGAGGTCCAGTCACAGAGAGGTAGGATCCTCACCCGGAAACAGACAGTATAAAAGATGAATGTCGCCCTCCAGGTTTGAAAAGTGAAGCCAGTGCAGAAGTGCCTTAAAACAGCATTCTTTTTAATGGCCACCAGGGGGAGACTCTTCTGGTCCCTAACAGACTTTGGTGGCGTTGAGGTCGATGTTGAAATGAGCCTCAGCTGCCTCTCTCTCTGTGACGTCAGTAAACACGATCCTGAGGAGTTTGAGATCATACTAAATAAAGCGTGATGGTCATTTAGTTAATTATGATTATTATTAGAGTCAGAGTTTATAACCCAAGAGTTATGATTGATAGCTTGTTAGCCAATGAGCACATCCCTCGGATTCACTGCCAGAGCTAGCCTTCCGCTGTCACGCCTGGTTTCAAACACCAAGATAGCGATGCTGAAAACGCTCCATACTCTCATAAAAGGGCACGGTGTGATATCAGGTTCCTTTATTTGTACCCGTAAGTGGATTTAACCAGCAGCAGGTGAGTCATCCATACAAAGTCAAAAGAGATAATATCAATAAAAAAAATAAAATTAAAAAAAAGAGTCAAAGAAGCTTGCAAAGAAAAGTATCTGGATCATCAGGGGGTCCTTTTGTCCCTCTTTGGGGGGAATCTCCCACTGGGTTTAAATCTGGGACTCTTAGAACTGAAGAAGCTTCTCGGATGAGAGGTGAAACGTCTTCAAGCAACTTAAAGAAGTACAGACGCTTTTCTTTGAAGCTCCTTTGACTACGATGACCTGGATGACTGAGAACCTTCACAGAAATCAAATAAAGAGAAAAAAGAAAAAGAAAAATGGGAGAAGTTTTCTTTAATGGTGAAACTAAAAGTGCTTTTAATACACAGTTAACACTGTTAAATGGTTAATTTCAAATATGAACTTTTCTCTAAAAGTAAGAGCACTGTGAGAAATTCAAAGAGTGAAAAAAATAGTTCCTTCTTCACTTTTGGATCAAAATGTCTCAGGGATCAAAGTCCTCACTTTGACGCTTTAATGCACCACAGCTTCATCTTTATACGAACTCTGCTGCTCTTCCAGTGCAGCACGAGCCGTGCTTTAGCATTTTTCCATTAAGCTGTAAATCTATGACATCATACTGATTTGCCCGAAACATCAACACATATTGGCGTGCACAAAATTATCTGGGCGGTGTTCCTCGTCTGTATCTCCCGATTCGATCACTGACGCAGACGGAAACATTTCTAATTTACGATTCAAAGATGAACTTTGTCTCAATGGGACCAATCACTAAATAACCTTTGATATG